TCAAGGTTTACAATATACTGAAAATGTTTATTGTTGAAAAGTATTTAGATTGAAAAGTGAGATGTTTAGTCATAAAAAATATTGACGGTTTTTTGACGACTAAATTTTTTGTAGGCAAAAACTTTAAATTTTTTGGGCCACTAAATATCTAGTCACCAAATAAAATTTATTTTTCATCATTTTTTTTTTTTTTGCTACTAACCATTTAGTCGCCAAAATCTTTTCTTTCTTTTGGCTATTAAATATTTAGTCGCGAAAAAGCCTTGATTTCCTTTTGGCTACCAATTGGTTAGTCGCCAACAACTTCACTTCTTTTTGGCTACTAATGTTTAGTCATCAAAAACTTTCTTTAGTGTTTTTTTTTATTTTAATTAATTTTGCCACAACTTGTATTTATTCTGTGCAATTTGTACCTTGTATATAAGCAAAATAATAACAATACAAGCAAAATTAACTTTTAACGTCAAATTTGAAATATAATAGAAATTTCATACAAACCAAACATAATCCAATTTAAAATAATAATTGTATAAAAAGCAGAAGATTATACAAAAACCATGTCTTGTGTACACAAAAAAAGAAATATCCACAATACCATGTCAAATGGTAATTCATACCACGCCAAAAATAATATGTTCTATGCCAAAAGTAATTTGTACCATGCCAATAATTATCTGTACGAACAATAGTAATCCAAAAAAAAAAAAAAAAAACAAAGGACAACATAATAACGGATCATAAAAAAGCAATGTCCTCCGCATACAAATAAAGAACATCCACATTTCCAAGCCAAAAACCATCTGTAAAAATAAAATTAACAATTAGTATTGATTGAATAACGTTATCATTTCAAATTATAAAAGAAAATTGTATAAAACTCGAATGTATATAATCGTTTCAAAATTGTATAATTATAGTCGTAATCATATGCTGCATGTCCGGACAAGTTTCTCCCAAGTTTCCCCCTCCCGAAATGCAATTTCTCAGTTAAGTTTAAGGCATTTTCAGCTCTAACTCCCAACCAATGTGTCCTACTCACAGGTCGTATGTCCCCATATGTTCTATTAGGCACAAGGAAGCTATCCGCGCAAATTCCCAGAATGGTTCGAGATTGTTTTGCATTTTTGGCCCCCCAATGCACTTTTTCAACTAAGTTTGAGACTTTTTTATTCTAACTCTCAACATACATGTCCTAATTACATCCCATGTGTCCCAACAGGTCGTACTTGTCACGAGCAAGTTACCGATGACATCCCTTGAGTGGTTTAGGCACTGTTTCGTATTTTTGCCCCTTCAACACCCTTTTTCTACTAAGTTTAAAGCATTTTCAACTCTAACCCCCAACCTATGTGTCCTAATTACATGTCGTCTATCCCTACAGGTCATATTTATCACAAGCAAACTTTTTCAACATCCGTGACAAGAAACTTTATGTCTTTTTACCGAAGAAAAAACTACTTGAATAAAGGGCAGAATTCATACAAATATAGATCAAACTAAAGCTATTAAGTATAACAAACATTTTGTTCTTGGAGATAATGGAATTTTTATTGAGTTCTTGATATATTTATTTCATTTTCTAGACTTTTTCGGTAAATCAATTTTCTATTCAATAATGAGCTACTAACTAGCCACCATGGTTAGGCTGCATATAAAAAGAAGTTATTTGCAAAAAGTATGCATAATTATGAGAATCAACAAAGTTGCATATAGAAACTTGGCTCAACAAGACCTGAATCCCATATATTAGACTCATATATACCTACCATATTGCAAGAGAAATTGTCAATTTAATTCTTCAACATATCCAATCAACTAAGAGTTACAATCCACAATGATAGTTATACCTGCCACACTACAAGAGAAATTGTCAATTTAATTCTTCAGCATGTCCAATCAACTAAGAGTTACAATCCACAATAACAGTTACTTTAGTGAGGATCAAAACCCAAGCAAAGGCCCCTGATATTTGATAATATTTCCAAGTTCTTCATTCAAAATGAGCAATATAGAAAAATCTAGCTGAAATCCAAAAATTATAGAAGCCAAAAAGCTTACTAATTCAACAATGACAATAAATTGGTGGACCATGGAATTAAGATACACCGATAACAAATTAAAAGATCTCAATTCAAGTAATGTTGAACAACACAATAATCTCACTTTTTCTTCACATAGAATATATCATTCACTTTTCACACATTCCATTTGTTAAATTCAACAATGGTGATGAACTGAACTAAATTCTAACCAAATCACCATAACATGCAAAATCTATAAACATTAAAGTTATATATTTTTCAAAAAATACATTAAACCCATTATCACCAAATAGAGAAGAATATAGCCAATTAAACCCAATAAGGAAAAATTGACAATGTCCTTCCAAACACAAACAATTACCCACCCCCTTCCTACATTTATTATTTTCCTTAATTCATTTCGTCATTTTTTTCCCTTTTTTCTTGTGTTCGTCAATATCAATTCCCCCATTTCTTCCCTTTGTGCTTGTACAAATAGAGTTGGGTTAACAAACCAACTATGCAATGCAAGTGTGTGTGTGTTTTGAATTATTAAAGCACACCACATATTCTACAATTAACTTGGAAAACGAAACTATGACTACAAGGAGCAGAAATAGAATTGATTTTAGAAGTGTGAAAGAGATGGAGAAATTGATCGATCATGAAAAAAACAGAATGCCAATGCATGCCAAAAATCGATTAAGAGAGAGAGATTTTTAGGGCTTCTCAGAAATCGATTTGACAGAAAGAGAGAGAGTGGGGGTTATTGTTGCAGATGGAGGGATTTTGAGTTTTGGAAGTAGTAGAGAGGTTGGAGTTAGGATGAGGCTTTAGTAGAGGGAAATCATTGAAGTGAAGAGGGCAAATAGAGAGAGAGAGAGAGGTCCATATATACCTGATATCTGTCTGGTTGAAAAGCACCTTCACTTCAACGATGGAAGCCAATAGAGGCTTGTAGTCTCGTTGTGGTTGGAACTCAACAGAGGCTACTAGTTATTGTTGGAAATTAAGGATTACATAGAGATGGTGAGAGCAACAGAAGAGGAGGAGAATGAGTGAGAGACGAAAAATAGATAAAGATAAGCATAATCGTTGTAGGGGAGTGAGAGGAAAATAGAAGGAGAAAGAGTTAACCGGTTGCTCTGGTTTTACATTTTCTACCATTAAACAATAGGTAAATTACACTGACACCTCATGAGGTTTATATTTATTGCAGTTTCCCCCTCACCTTTTGGAAATTACATTTCCCCCCTTAAGGTTTAAAGTTTCATTACAGATTCCCTCCCTTCAGCAATTTAATTTTTTTAAATACCAATTTTGCCCTCATTAGGTAAATTACATTGACACTCATCACATTTTAGAAATTACAATCTCATCCTTAAGGTTTAAACTAGCATTACCATTTACCCCCTCAGTTAGGATTAGTTGGAAAAAAAAATTAATTGGAAAAAAAATTATTTGAAAAAAGAATTATTTGAAATTTTTTTTTATTAATAAAGTTTTTAAATTTCTGTTTAAAAACGAACTAAGCTCATTTTTTGAATTTACGTTTTTTTCTCAAATTTACAAACTGAGACAACTATTTATAAACCAAAAAAATTATCAAATAAGTTTTTATGATAATTTTTAAAAATTTTGTAAATATAAATTAAAAACTGAAAACAAAATGGTTACCAAACAGGCTTGATGGTAAAAATGTCATAAAATTAACAAATAATTAAATAAGTTACCAATATAAGAAATGACTTATTAAAAGATTCTTAGGCTATGTATGGTTTGATTTTTAGATTTTTTTTTTAAATTAAAAATTAATTTGGTTAAGAAATAAAAAATAAAAAATAATTATCATTTTAACTTTTGGGAAACAGCTATACGTATGTATATGACCTACCCAAAGGTTAAAATGATAATTATTTTTTATTTTTTATTTCTTAACCAAATTAATTTTTAATTTTTAAAAAAAATTCTAAAAATCAAACCATACATAGCCTAAGAATCTTTTAATAAGTCATTTCTTATATTGGTAACTTATTTAATTATTTGTTAATTTTATAAAATTCTAAAAATCAAACCATACATAGCCTAAGAATCTTTTGATAAGTCATTTTTTATGTTGGTAACTTATTTAATTATTTGTTAATTTTACGACATTTTTACCATTAAGCCTGTTTGGTAACCATTTCGTTTTCAGTTTTCAATTTATATTTACAAAAATTTTAAAACTGTCCTAAAAACTTGTTTGATAATTTTTTTGGTTTATAAATGGTTGTCTCAGTTTGTTAATTTGAGAAAAAAACGTAAATTCAAAAAATGAGCTTACGTTGGTTTTTAAATAGAAATTTAAAAACTTTACTAACAAAATTTTTTTTCAATGAATTTTTTTTCCAACTAATATTAACCAAGAAGGCAATTGGTAATGCTACTTTAAACCTTAGAGAGGGGATTGTAATTTTTAAAATGTGAGGGGTGTCAATGTAATTTACCAAATGATGGCAAAATTGATATTTAAAAAAATTAAATTGCTAAATTGAAAAATCTGTAATGAAACTTTAAACCTCATGAGGAGATATAATTTTCAAAAAGTGAAAGGAAGAATTGTAATAAATATAAATTTCAAGGGGTGTCAGTATAATTTACTCTTAAACAATTCAACGGTACTAAGGCCTCGTTTGGCAACTGAACTTTTTAGCCAAAAAGTCAAAAAGTTACTAAAATTAACCAAAAAGCCAGCAACTTATACCAAAAAATCAAAGATTCTTATTTCTCTCTACTTTTTGCACATCTTTTCATAAAAATTCAAAAAATCATCCCAAACATATTAATTTTTTTAGCTCATATTTTAACCAAATAACTAAAAAATTATTCAATTAACCTGTTCCCAAACCAGGCCAATGGTAATTCAAGGGCAGATAATTAGGTTGTATATAATATGCAACCTTTAATGGGTTGCGCACCCAAACAGCTCCTATTTCACTTTTCAGTTGCTACACCGAACCAAAGCCCTGTTCGTAGAATGGTATACAAAAAATCCCTGATTTGATTTTGGTACCTTGAGATTCCTTTCTCTCTCTCTCTCTCTCTCTCTCTGTGGCTCTGAAAGAATGGCCGCCAGCATGTTTAGCAGAGTTGCATCATGTAATAAGCTTGTCAAACCCTGTTACTCTTCTTCTCTTTTGTCATACTTCATCCCACACGAGTCTCAACATCTAAACCCCAACCCTATTCCCCTTACGCCCTTGTTCACCCAATATTCCAATTCAATTTCCCCACAAAACTTGTCTACCTCCATTTCTAATCTCTCCAACTTCCCCATATACAAATCCCAATCTTCACAATACCATAAACCCATAAATTTCAATCATATTCTGATCAGATCTTACACAACTTCAAGTCCAAGTCCCAGATTCACAAATCAACTACACTTGCTAGATAAATACCCCCGAAACCCTAACTCTAATTGGTTGTTCACACATGAAAAACCCAAGTACTTCTCTAGCTCTGATTCATCATCATCATCATCACCACCTGATGGTGAAATACCCCCAAACCCTAGTCCATACCCTAGTCAAAACCCTGGATTCAAGCACCAAGAGATTGAGGGACCGACTGTGGAGCGAGATGTCTCCGCACTGGCCAATGAGACACGACAAGTCCTCGAAACCATGATGAAGAACATCTATGGCCTGAGCAAGGCATTAGCTATTCTGGGTCTGGTCCAGCTTGGGTTGGGAGCTTGGATTTCCTACATTACTCAGTCTTCGGCAATTGTGGAGGTTTCAATTCAGAGTTCTATGGCTTTTGGATTCCCCTTCGCTTTGGCATTCTTGTTGCGGCGGTCGCTGAAGCCCATGTACTTCTTTAAGAAGATGGAAGAGCTTGGTAGGTTGCAGATTTTGACTTTAACTCTTCAAATTGCTAAGAACTTGAATTTGCTTTTCTTGCGAGTTCGTAGTGTTTCCTACTTGTGTATTGCAGGAGCTTCAGTTGGGTTGGTGTTTACCGCACTTTCAAGATCAACTTAAATCACATGTCACAACTTTCCATTACATTGTCATTAATTTGGTCCTTTTTTTTTCGTGGGATTTTCACATGGTATCTATATTCGTAATAATTTTGAAGTATGGTATACCCTTGATTGGGTATTTTTATTTCAGTCTTCAAGTTACTTCTCATCAATTTGAAACGTAGCTGTACTGCTTTTATTTTAATAACTTTTTTACTCTGGAATCTGCTGTTATGTACAAGTAGGACAAACAATATGATGATCAAAGCTTTCATGTTGAAGCTTGATAATGATTTTATGCTGCAATTCATATAGGGACAAAATGTGTTTAATATCTGCTTTTGCATACACAATTTGATAATTCTTGTTTTGGTGTCTAACAGAACTGTAATTCATCAATAATAGGAGAAATCCTGTTGATGTTATTGCGTTAACTAGCATTTGAAATGATTTCCCCGTTGTTGGCTACTTTAATGGTTGCTGCCTTTTTTTTATTATTTACACGAGTATCTAGATATATCATTGGTTTAGCAGTTTTACTATTACAGAGAGGGAGAATGGTTGCAAGCAGAGTTTGGTTGTGACTTGCAAAGGTTTAATGCATTTTAACTTTGCAATATATATGATAGGGAATGGGTAGTTTTAAGACACAATACCAATTATAGCATATAGCGTGATTAGATAAGCGATAGCCATAGGTATTGAAACAAAACAACCTCTAGCTTCTGCCATAAATAAAAGCTGAAAGACAGAGAAGATGATGCTGTTTTCGTGTTATTTAAACTCTCTCCCCTCCCTGTTCATCAACAACGATAGAAGCTGAAGCTGTCTTTGCATCAAGAGAAGAGAAGAGAAGAGAAGAGCTGTCTGACAAAGACTTGTACATTTAAAAAGTGTCTACACTCTTAACAGTACATACCTGTATAACAACTTGAGACTCCTGGATGTATGATTCTGAATTCTTTGGCCATACTAAAACCTATCACTTCATATACATCTACAATATCTTTGATGAGAGATTGAGTGCTCCATGATACCCACCCTCAAAATGTTTATGATGAGAAGAAATCAACATTGACCAACGCCTAGCCACTATTATGTATTTTCGTGTTCATTTGGATACAAATAATTTAGAATAGGCAGCTATATAATAACAATGATCTATCGTACTTTTGTATGGTGCACAACTGTAATGAAATATCACACAAATTCATAACAAGATCATATTGGGTCCAAATTAATTTATAACCAAGTCACATGTTTAATTCAAAGTGAAAAATTGAATCATGGCTTCAAATTATAACCTTTGGGTAGTGTTTGATTTTGGACTGAAATGGAATAACTATTTCAACTGGAGATCCAGTTTACAAGACTTGGAAATCCAGTTCACGCACCTCAGTAAATGACTGAAACACCCCCACATCCCTTGTAGATCAGTATCTGTCTTCCCTCGTGTCCATGTCTTAACCGAACCCTCTCTGGCTATGCTTAGAACTGCACCTAATTATGCACATATCCCTGATATATTTAAATCTCCCATCTCAACTGTTGTGCCAAGTTCAGTACAGTCCACTATGGGTTATTTTGTGAATTGACTTTTTTTTAGTAATTTTTGATTTTTTACGAATAGACGTATAAAAAAGTAGAGAAAAGAATTCACTCTTTTTTAATATTTTTTAAACTTTTTGACTAAAATAATGAGAAATAAGCCTATATCTATGGCAGCCGGATCCTCTAATGTTCTCTACAAAACGACTCAAAACGACATCGTTTTGTAATAAAAAATAATTTGCAGAAGACGGACCAGAACCAGAAACAAGGAAGAGGATTTTTCTCGCCGGAGGAGGTGTTTGGATTGGCAAAGGAATCAACAGCCCAATAACCCCATTTGGGTCATCATCTTCTTGAAATCTCAACACGGATACAAAGTTCCTTTGAAAACTCAAACAAACTAGTAGAACCCCCTCTTCAAATCCTCAAAGCTCCTTTCGCTTTCTCTCTTCTGATTGGGTCTCTTTCTTTTTGGGAAGATCTAGTTTGCCATAGGTTTTGTCAGATCAGGTTTTGCCAAATTGATTGGTGGTGGCGGTGATGGTGCTGAGAAAATGAGATGGGGGGGTGGACAGGGGTTGCGGTTGAGAATGGCCATGGCTTGTTGGGAATGGAGGCGGGGGCGATGGGAAAAGGAGAGGCGAGGGTTGGGTATTGCATTTGTGATGGCGTGGTTGAGAAATTGCAATGAGGGTTGTAGGCATCACAGCTCCTTTTTTTTCTCTCTTCATTGTTCGTCTTCTGTAGCATAATTTTTTTTTATTTTAACAAGGTGATGTCATTTTGAGTTGTTTTGTTGCCAACCGTTAGATCAACACCGCAGAGAGATCACTGTAGAGGATCTGGACGCATATCTATGGTGCTATTGGATGACTTTCCTAATTATTTATTTAGATAAACAATGCATATTTATTTCTGATAATAATAAAGGTGTAGTAGGCTATATAACACAATATGTAAGACCCATGTATTGTAACCAGTAAGTTTGGGATATTTCTATTTTTGTTTTGAATAAATTTGTTAATAGGAAAAAGTAGTTATAATTCTCAATCACTAAAATGCCTACACTTTTTTCTTTTCTTTTTTTTTTTTAACTTTTTGTAAAGCAATCATTTGCATATTTTAATGGTTAAGTATTCAAAAGTGTGAAAAACAGTTTATATACCAAACTAGTGAAATTTTACACTTCCAAAACTATGTACTTCCACAATTTTGAAACCAATACTCGAAAGTGTGAAACTAGACTAGAAAGTGTGAACTTTTCACTCTTTTTGAAACTACTTTCAGGGTAAGTTTGGGAATTCTTTATAATAGTTAAAAAGTTATTAAAAAGTCAAAAGCTATTCAAAAAGGTCAAATAGTTTCTTTACTCTCTACCCTTTAGCACTTTTTTGTAAAAAATTTAAAAAATTATTCTAAATATATTAATTTTTTTTCACTTGATATTATAGTCAAAAAATTACTAAAATTGCCTATTTCCAAACCAACCCTCAGTAAGTTTGGAAGTTCACACCTTCAATAATTGTTTTATCACTTCTTTAAAAATAAAAATAAAAAAAGTTAATCAATTCTGAAGGTGTAAAAAAATTAGGGATAATTACTAGTAGGTCTTATTATTGACTTTCGTTTGTGCATTTTGATTTATTTTTTGCTTATTTGTGTTAGTTTGCATTTGCATTGAAATATGATGTGTGAAGTGTAAGTAGTTGAATCTTATTTTATTTTAATTTTTTTTATTGTAATAAATTTATCACTAAAAGTTCAATTCACAGGATTTGTTTGTAATTACCCCTAAAATTTATGTGAAAGCAAGAAAATTCTCACTCAATAATTTTCAAAGTGTCAAATTTAATTTTTTTAACTACATAATTTCATATTCAATGAAGATCTATGAAATTATGTAAGACAGAGAATTAAATTTCACACTTTTAGAAACAATTTACCAAAATGCAAAAGTTTAGAATTTTTCGTTTCATATAATTTCACATTTAATGGAGATTTGATATATCTTATGGTGTAGGTTCTAAATATATAAAATTATCAAAAATTAAAATGTATAATGAAAATTTTTAAAATTTTAAATTGGAAATATTACTATTGTTATTATTATTATTTTAATGTACGAGCCATGTCAACGCTTTAGGTACATGGGCAAAAAAGACTAAGTGCCTGTTTGGCAGAAATTATAATCAGCTTATTTCAGCTTTCAGCTTAATTTAACCTATTTTGATGTGTTTGGTTTAGCTTATAGCTTATAGCTTATAGCTTATAGCTTTTTAGAAGTCAGAAATCAGCTTATTCTTTGAATGGGGCAGGAGATACTTTAAGAATAAGTCAAAAATCAGCTTATGTTCATAGTTATAAGCTATAAGCTGTTTAGGTATAAGCTATAAGCACTTTCCCACAGCTCTACCAAACAGGGTTTAAGGCTTGGTTTGGATTTTTTAGAGTCCAAAATTGAAAGCTTATTTGTTGATCTCTATTCTCAAAATTATTTTTATACTATTTTAAATTTATCTTTATTCTCAATTATGTCAAACCTATTCCAAATTGAAAAATGTTTGAGAGCCACAAATTCTGTGGCTCAAATGGCTCAAAACTGTCAAAACAACGTCATTTTGCATCATTTTGCACCCAAAACGACGTCATTTTTGGTGTTTCGAACCATTCGAGCCACATAATTTGTGGCCACCTAGCATTGTTGTTCCAAATTTATCTCTATTTTCAAAACTATTTCAAATCAAATTTATATCTATCACTAAAGTGACGTTAATTGAATCCATATTTGTATTAAAGCATACGGTACATCATATTTTTAAGTTAATTGAATTTTTTGGATAAAACTTTGTAAAAAAGTTAATTGCAAATTCATAAAAGTTTAAAACAAAATAAATTTGTATTTCGAATTAATAAAAAAATATTTCTGAAACTAGTGGAAAAAAAAATGTGTTATACGTTTTAAGTATATTTAGATTGACGGGTTTTAAAAACTGAAAAAATTGTGTATATTTGTTAGTATTTAGTGATTTTAAAAGATTTTTTCATAAATTTTGTACGTTTTAAGTGTATTTAAATTGAGTGAATCTAAAAATTGATTTTTTTTTTCTTTTTTGTATATTTGTTAGTATTTAGTGACTTTTTTTAATAAAAAAAACAAATCGTAAATTTTTAGTATATTTAGATTTAGAGGAAATAAAAATTGAAACAATTTTGTATATTGTTTTGATATGTTTGTTAGAATTTAATGATTGTTAAAATATCTAAGTTAAAATATATATATATCATGAAATTAAAATTTCTGATTAAAAATAAATAAATTCAAGATGATCTCAAAGACACATCCATATATGATGCAGAACTTTGAAAAGTCATATTACAATTTACTGTGGGTTTGGAAACTTGACTTTTTTATACGTCGTTTTATTTTTAAATATTTTTTTTTATGATATGAGAAAATTAGTGCATTTGAAATGAATTTTTTAATTGAATAAATAGTTGTAAAAAAAAAATTTATTGATATATAATGTGACATTTTGATATTTTAACTTTTAGTGACTTTTGATTTTTTTAAGCAAAAACATATTACCAAACATGGTCTTAAACTTAGGCTTCGTTTGGGAAGTAGCTATTTTAGTAGGCTATTTTAATTTTTGGCTATTTTAAGTAGGCTAAAATTTTTGTGTTTGGGAAGATGATTGGATTTTTTTGTGGTTGGATGTGATGTTTGTGAGAGAAAAAGTGAAATGATTATGGGTTTGATGTGATATTTTGTCTTATTAGCTA